ACAAATTTATGTGAGCAAAAACCAAATATACAAACAGACAGCGCAAAAGTAAAACAGCCTACTTACATGTGTTTCTTATGTAAGTAGGCTGTTTTACCTTTGCGCTGTCTGTTTGTATATTTGGTTTTTGCTCACATAAATTTGTATTCGTCTTTTCGCAGAATATTCTGTATGTTATTGTTTTCTTCTTAGGCCGTCAAATATAATATTTATTTTTTCACATAATTCGTCACGACATTAATTTTTTATCTTTTTTATTCACATTTCACATTGTTTTTTTTTTATATTTATATAATAAATAAATCCCGTACAAAATTCAATACAATAACTGTCAAGTGTAGTTTTGTTAATAGGGATTGATAAGTTTCTCGCGTGGTCCACATGTCAAATCGCTGTCGTCGACTTGTTCGACGGATTTGTACTGGGTGCTGAAATGAGAAGATTTCGGAGGTTTTAATTTGCGTGTAAATATAGAATATTTTTTCGAAAACCAATAAGTTGCATTGGCTTCAAAAAAAAGTGTTTTAAACTTTGAACAAATTACAAGGAGAAATAAAGTACAAGATTACATATTTCATTTTTAAATTGATGAATATTATTAAAGTAGTCCCACAAAATATAAACTTTATTTATTAAATGTCCATTTCAGCGTCCGGAGCGTTATGTATAAATATTTGGAAAAAGAAAATGAAATAAGCTTCGATAAAATCTTCAACCAAATTTTAGGTATATATAAACAATGTTACAGTCAAATATAAATTGAAAAATAAATACATTAACTTGCCTCTGAACCCTCAGGATATCTGCTATTCAAAGACTTCTGCGAAAATTCATCAGAAGAACCTGTCCCACATCTGAAATTCTATGAAGAGGTAAGGTTATAGCAATTATGAGAACGATTGTTTTTGATAAATGATTGGCCTTGAACGGCATCTGTCGCAAGTTATTTTTCGACCCTTTCTTACGATCGCCAAGACTTCTCTTAAAATGAGCCGAATTTGATTCCAAAAATTTAAAATTTAAATGGGTGTAACCAAATTGAGCAAAACTAAAAATATTAGCGACCAACGATTAGGCCATAAATTAAGAAAAACCATTGAAGTTTGAAAGTCGGTCCACTTGTCTTTCAAAAAAGGGCCAAAATTCAGTTCGAATGGCGATAAATAACGTTGAAAATTTAACATTGATATTCTGATTCTTGAGATTAAATTCCTTAACTATACCTTAAACGTCGAAATCAATCCGTTCCAAAAAAAATCAAGTTGAGGTAGACAAATTGGGTAAATATCGAAGAAAACTTCATAGTTTATTTTGAAAATTTAAACACCAAGTCAAAGATAAAAAATATCAGCCATATTTATGGCATATAGAGCCAAAAAATAGCCTAAAAGTCTATATATTTTTTGTATTCGATAATTATTCCTATTCATATGTGGAGGTAGTTTTGAATTTTCAATTTGGAAAATGACGCTAACAAAACTATTGATGTCAAATAAAAAAAACTCTGTGACGAGGTGAGGAATCCAAACGAGTGAACCGAAACCAAAATTCAAAATACAGAAATAAATGTAATTAAAATTAATTTAATATACATTTGTACAACGTTGCGTCAGTAAGACTTACAGTAAAAAGCGGGTAATTTCTGCAACGTTTTTAATTAACCAATGTATATCTAGTTTTTATTTTATATACAAACATTTTCTACCACCATTTTCGTCACAAAATTGATATCAGAAATTTTAAGAAACAAATTTTGTTTTCGACACTCGTTCTTCACCTCGACAAATTATTTGATTCATGTGTATGAACAAAAGAAAGAAATGGTCGAATAATGAGATTATTTTTATTACTATTATTATTATTATTATTATTATTATTATTATTATTATTATTATTATGAGAAATATATTTTTGATAATAGATTAAAAACTACGAAAAAACCGAGTGTCATGATGAGCGGCGTAAAATGGCGAGAGAAATCTATGACAACTTTATCATGAAGGAAATGCTATCTCACACACATGTTAGTACATTCAGTTAGTTTTGAATTTTTCATATTATAAGAAGTTATGTTGAGATTTTAGCTCCTTTATTTTAAATCCAATTCAAATTTACATAGGAATATTCCAAAGACGCTGTAGCCCATGTACAAAAATATCTTATGAAAAATGAAGTTCCAGTTAATTTATTCGAAGTAGGTGAACTAAATAACATAAAATTAAATTATTTGTTTCATTACTATTCAGCACATATGGCTGGAGTATTTTTATATCTCTTATCATTACATTCAATTGTTATATTAGATCTGAATTCTATTTTCTCAATTTTTATATTCAATAATTGCAGCCGTACATAGAAGAAATATTTAACCATCTAAGGAATGAACCATTTCAACATTATTTAGAAAGGTATTTAAAGTTTGTTTATTAGATAATTTTTAACGATAGAATTAAAGTAATAACGAGGTCAAAAGAATATATTTATCTTGCCCACATGACCCAATAAAAAAATAATAAAAACCGGTTTTAAGTAGCGGCAACCTGGTTCGAGACCATACACTTGTTGCGCTTTCAATAACTTTTCTTGAGTCTCTCGCATGATTTCATTTTCGTCTTTGACAACAAAGAATTTTGTGCGTTCCATCCAGAATGACATAGCCACGCCATCCGTTTGAATCGAACTCTGGAAACGATTGTCATTTGCGGTGTTCTTTCGATGGCATCAATGTCAAAATACGTAAGCCAAAGCACGTCCAAATCAGCGGCTTTTAATTCAACATACCGCTTTGGTGTTCCCCCACGTCTAATGAACCGTGAGTGTGGGCATTCGATAACTCTCAGCATGTAATAAAGAGCTTTGTTATCGATGCGAATGTGATGTCTTTGAAACGTTGAAACTGGAAAAGCGGTGAAATTTTTGTAATCATGGAGCTCTGTTCTTTCACCTCGCCGCAATGCCGTCTCTCTATTTCGTTGGTGATCTCGAATGTACCTATTGTATGAATGACGACGAAATTATTAGAAATTGCATTGTTTAACGAATGAAACAAAAATGATTGTGTGCAACCGATTGATTTGAAGTAATGTAAAAATATTAACGCGTTACCGTCGCAAATGTAGAAATACAGTATGTTTCATTATAGAGAGAGGTTGATTTTTTATAATAAAACTCAAGAGTTTTACAAAATTATTTTATATACATTCTATTTAGTATCTAAGCTACGGCGCCACAAATTAATATTTAATCCATTCTCCTGCCTTCTCGATCACACAGGCACATCTATTCGGCATACTTTTGCTCAAATTTTCAGCATATTCGCTTTGAAAACCTTTCCACTGGCGCTGAATGAATGAACTGAGCTGCTTCAAATTGCGGTATGTTTTACCACGAAGCCATGCCTTAATAATAGCCCAAAAATTTTCGTTCGGATTGCAATCGGGTGACTGTGGCGGCCAGTCTATTTGTTTAATGTCATTTTCCTCTTTCCAAGCATTGCATAGACGACTTTTGTGTTTTGGATCGTTGTCTTCTAATAGAAGCCAATTCGAATTGTGGTTGCCATAGAACTTCTTAGCGATGGGTAACGGTGTCGAT